ATATTATCGCGAAAATATTCTGGAGGGTGTATTAAAGCCTTGGGCACGCAAATATTTTGGCCGCAGACCTTGGTCATTCCAACAGGGCTCAGACGCGCACTCAGCACGAGTCACCCAAGAAAGTTTACAAAATGAGGTTCGCCCGCTTCGTTTCCAGCGCACAATGGCCATCAAAATCTCCGGATACCAATCCGTTGGACTATTGTGTCTGGAGTATTTTGGAAAGCAAGGTTGGCACTGGAAAATACCAAAGTCTCGATCACCTCAAACAAGCGCTTCGCCGAGAATGGGCCAAAATATCGCTGAGCAACGTTCGGGCAGCGTGTGACGATTTCATTGGCCGTTCGAAGGCCATAATTCGTGCCAAAGGTGACCAATTCGAACAAATCTAAACTTATTCTAAAATTTGATACTATTTCCGACATTTTTTGGTTTCATTCAAAATAAAAAAATGACGTAAAAATTATGGCGTTGTTGCAGTTTTTTATCTCACCCTGTATATCAAAATCCAAATTAGACTGTCATCTTGTCCTTCACAAATATTCTGTAAAAATAAAAATTTGATATATTTTTTAAATAATTTTTTTGTTAATGGGGGACATTATTTTCCTATTTTTGAATGACTGTTCCTACATTTTCTTTTTTATAGAAAAATAACTTCTAATACCTTCTGTTTATAGAATTCCTTTCAAAAATCTTCGATTTTCAAAGACTTTGCAAAGGTCTTCCATCTGAACTTCTTCTCACCTAATAATTTCCTTATCAAATTCCCAAAACACCATTCAATACTTGATCCCCCCCAGGGTAACAATAAATTATTTCATCATTATCAAAGACGTTCAAATATTTCATTTCAAAAACATTTGCCAAATCACCCACCCGCCACACTCCCCTAACCTCCCATTTTGTTATGGCCTGCTAAAACCAATTGTTTTATGGAAAAGTGATTTATCTTAAAGCGAGACTTTAAGCCATTGTAACAGTAAATAACAAAACAACAACAATTGTACAGATTTTGAATGAACAAAATATGCTGACCGCCATCGCCTACCCCCATCCCCTACAACCGGAAAACCCCACCAATCAGCAGCACAAGTGTGTGTATGTGTGTGGGTGGGTGGAATTCGTGAACTTTGTTTTGGAAACATAAATAAGTTTTGTTCGAGCGTTGCGGTGTTGTTGGCGGTAAGGGGCAGCGGTCAATTTCGGACATTCACTAACACTTGAAATTCCTCTGCAATCATCAACTTTGAATACGAAGTACTTTAACTTTAAGTGGATAAATCTCACCTGAACGGTGAGAATGCCGGGGCAAGAGCACACACATACAAACAGACTTACACGGAGTATCTGACAGCAACAATCAAACGATGCCCAAACAGCAAACAATAAATGCCTTGTGGGCTGGTCAGCCCACACAAACACACTCATTCACACACATACATTGACGATACACGCCAAATACAGTAAACACCATTGTTAAGCTCATCTCAAAGTTCTTAGTTTGATGGGATAAAAACAGCAGCAACAACAAGAAAAACAAAAAAATGATGAAGAACAAATCTGAAAAAAGGGGGGTGCAGAAGTCGAGGCATACCTTGTTGAAGATAGACATCAACAGCGGCACAGTTGAAGATCGCCATCAACAGCCTACAGATTCTGTAAAGGGGGAAGGGTAGTGGCTGCAGAAGGCTTTGTAAAAGCGATTCGAATTGATTTTGAAAATTTTTTATTTTTAGATTCTTGAAAAGAAGAATAGGAAATATACCACAGGGAAATTTTCAAGGAGAATAGATGACCTTCCACAGGTCTAGGATGGATAGAATAAATTCCACAGGACGTCTATGGACAGAAGATGTTCCACAGGACTTCTTAAAATAAATGGTCTGATACCAAGTAGGCCTTCTATGGACAGAAGACTCTCCCGAGAACTTTTTGGATAAACGACCTTCCATAGAAAAAAGGACCCTCCATAGGCCTTCCATTGACAGAAGAGGTTCCACAGGTATTCTTTGGATTAAAGACCTTCCACAGGCCTTCTATGGGTAGAAGACCTTCCACAGGTCTTCTAAGGATAAAATAACTTCCACTGGTCTTCTAAGGACAGAAGATCTTCCAGAGGTAAAGGGGGGAGGTGGTTGCATAGACTTATATAGGCCTTCTAAATATATAATAGCTTTCACATATCTTCCAAGGATAGAAGGACTTACACAGGTCTTCTATGAATAAAGGTGGTTGCATATTCTTCCATATGTCCTCTAAGGATAGAAGACCATTAACATATCTTCCAAGGACAGAAGGGCTTAAACAGGTCTTCTTTGAATGAAATACCTTCCACAGGACTTCTATGGATAGAAAACCTTCCATAAGTCTTCACTGGGTAGAAGACCTTTATGTCTTCTAGGAAAAGAAAACCCTCCACAGGTCTTCTATAGAAAGAATACCTTCCACAGACCATATATGAAGAGAAGACACTTCACAAGTCTTCTCCGGATAAAAGACCTTCTACAGTTCTTCTCTGCATAGAACACCTTCTATAAGTCTTCTTTATATAGAAGACCTTCCACAAGACTTCTATAGACATAAGATCTTCCACAAGGATTATACGGATAGAAGACCTCCTACAGATCTTCTATGGATAGAAGACCTTCTACAAGTCTTGTATAGATAGAATAATTCATGCTTTTTGGTCCTTGAAAAATATTCTTTAAAAATCCACGTTTATTTAGTCGTTGAAAAAATATTCTTTAAAAAATCCACGTTTATTTAGTCGTTGAAAAAATATTCTTTAAAAAATCCACGTTTATTTAGTCGTTGAAAAAATATTCTTTAAAAAATCCACGTTTATTTAGTCGTTGAAAAATATTCTTTAAAAAATCCACGTTTATTTAGTCGTTGAAAAAATATTCTTTAAAAAATCCACGTTTATTTAGTCGTTGAAAAAATATTCTTTAAAAAATCCACGTTTATTTAGTCGTTGAAAAAATATTCTTTAAAAAATCCACGTTTATTTAGTCGTTGAAAAAATATTCTTTAAAAAATCCACGTTTATTTAGTCGTTGAAAAAATATTCTTTAAAAAATCCACGTTTATTTAGTCGTTGAAAAAATATTCTTTAAAAAATCCACGTTTATTTAGTCGTTGAAAAAATATTCTTTAAAAAATCCACGTTTATTTAGTCGTTGAAAAAATATTCTTTAAAAAATCCACGTTTATTTAGTCGTTGAAAAAATATTCTTTAAAAAATCCACGTTTATTTAGTCGTTGAAAAAATATTCTTTAAAAAATCCACGTTTATTTAGTCGTTGAAAAAATATTCTTTAAAAAATCCACGTTTATTTAGTCGTTGAAAAATATTCTTTAAAAAATCCACGTTTATTTAGTCGTTGAAAAAATATTCTTTAAAAAATCCACGTTTATTTAGTCGTTGAAAAAATATTCTTTAAAAAATCCACGTTTATTTAGTCGTTGAAAAAATATTCTTTAAAAAATCCACGTTTATTTAGTCCTTGAAAAAATATTCTTTAAAAAATCCACGTTTATTTAGTCCTTGAAAAAATATTCTTTAAAAAATCCACGTTTATTTAGTCCTTGAAAAAATATTCTTTAAAAAATCCACGTTTATTTAGTCCTTGAAAAAATATTCTTTAAAAAATCCACGTTTATTTAGTCCTTGAAAAAATATTCTTTAAAAAATCCACGTTTATTTAGTCCTTGAAAAAACATTCTTTAAAAATCCACGTTTATTTAGTCCTTGAAAAAATATTTTTTAAAAAATCCACGTTTATTTAGTCCTTGAAAAAATATTCTTTAAAAATCCACGTTTATTTAGTCCTTGAAAAAATATTTTTTAAAAAATCCACGTTTATTTAGTCCTTGAAAAAATATTTTTTAAAAAACCCACGTTTATTTGATCATTAAAAAAATATTTTTTTAAAAAATCCACGTTTATTTGATCTTTGAAAAAATATTTTTTAAAAAAGCCACGTTTATTTGATCATTGAAAAAATATTTTTTAAGAAATCCACGTTTATTTGATCATTGAAAAAATATTTTTAAAAAATCCACGTTTATTTGATCATTGAAAAAATATTTTTTAAAAAAATCCACGTCTATTTGATCATTGACAAAATATTTTTTAAAAAATCCACAATTAATAAAAAATATTTTTTAAAAAATCCACGTTTATTTGATCATTGAAAAAATATTTTTTAAAAATCCACGTTTATTTGATCATTGAAAAAATATTTTTTAAAAAATCCACGTTTATTTGATCATTGAAAAAATATTTTTTAAAAAATCCACGTTTATTTGATCATTGAAAAAATATTTTTTAAAAAATTCACGTTTGATGATCCTTTGGTCCTTGAAAAAATATTTTTTAAAAAATCCACTTTTGATAATCTTTTGGTTCTTGAAAAAAATATTCTTTAAAAAAACACGTTTATTTGGTCCTTGAAAAAATATTCTTTAAAAAATCTACGTTTAATGATCCTTTGGCCCTTGAAACAGTATTTTTTAAAAATTCCTCGTTTGATGATTCTTTGGTCCTTGAAAAAGTATTTTTTTAAAAATCCCCCTTTCCCAGAACCTCTGTTGGTAGGAGACCTTCCATTTTTCCACACCCATTTCGTACCACTTCACACATTTGAATTTCCTGTGATCCCCTCCCCTTCCTTTTCACCTTCAAATCGATCCTTTGTTTAACGCTGCATACCATACAAATATCTTGGCCTCCACAAAATGAGAATTTGTTGTTTCGGAGGGGAGAGTGGGGCTGAAACCCCTCAGAAGAAGAATTATCCAACTGCTTACAATAAGATGCTGCTGCTGCTTCTGTTCGTTTCTATTGTTTGTCGTTGTTATTGTTGTTGCCATTGTTAATGTTTATACTGTTACAAATGTTGCCATTGTTGTTGTTATTGTATTTCAGTTGTTGTTGTTGTACGATTCGAATTTGGTTTTTGATTTAATGACTTTAATTTGTTCTTCGTTTTCAGGTGGTGCGTAAAATTGATTTATTACATTGAACAAAAGGAGGAGAAGTAGAGGTGGGAGGAGAAGGCGAAGCAGTTGAAAAAGAATATAACCCAAAGAAAAAAATAGGCAACAGAGAGTTTTTTTTGATAACAACCACAATAAGGACAAGTCGAAAAAAACAACAACAATACAAGAAGAATTTCTACAACAAAAGAAAAAAAAAGTCGAAAAATATCGAAATCATCACCAGGTAAGCCAAATCTACCACAGAAATAAAACCTCAAAAATATTAAGTCACATTCATCTTAAATTGGCAAAAAAAAGAAAACAGACACACACACACACAATCGAATGCAAATACAGTGGGCTCTGATGAAATGAATGGAAATTATGGGTTATACAGTTCCAGCCCTCTAGAAGGAAGTTTAAAGTCGATCGATCCCCATACATCTATCAATTCTCGAAGAGAATTTTAATACACCGTGGTATTTTTATTTTTAGGTCCCACTGTATCTAAGTTTTTTTTCCAAAACTCCTATGGATTCTAATACAAATGTAGCCGAAATAAATTGTTATCGTCATCACCATTACCAACTTTTGTACCGAACGTACCGTACGCTACGATACGGTACGTATGCTGATGAAATGAAGCCCTCTAACGAAACCTAACCTCAACCGAAAAAAGAAAAAGAATTTCCAAACAATGAAAAGCCAAAAAAAAAAACAATTTATTGCCGAAAAATTGTTAGTACGTGATTCATACCAACTTGAAGCACTTCAGAGGAGAGGCACAACCAGAGAGTGGGGGTCCTTTGTTGGTGTGTGAGTGGGCCGATTTTTTCTGCTACGGATTCTCTGCTTTATTATGTTGTTACCACCAACACCATCATTAGTCACACCCAGCTACAGCTTCCCCTCTCCCCCGGCCCCTCTCCCAAAAAAGAAGAAAAAAATAACTTCGACTCTACCGCAAAGCAAATTCCTAGCAAATCCATGAAAAAGTAACAAATTTCCTGTTTCTTTTACTTATTTCTCTCCTCCCGCCTCTCTCTCTCTCTCTCCCTCAGTTCTCTTTTTCTTAAAACACAGTTGTAAATCGTTTTTTTTTAGTTTTACCTCCAACCCAAAAAGCCTTTCAACAAAACCTCTGCCATTTATTTCAATCTGCATTTTTTTCATTCTTTCATTCTGTCACAGTTTTAGAAAAAACGAATTTTGAAATGTTAAGCTTTGGGAAGGGGAGAAAAGGTGTGAGACGTGAATTTTCTTTCTTTCATTTTTGGGAAATTTGAACATTTATGTGAAAAATGTTCTTTGATTGTGAGACTCATTTATGGCATTGTTTAAATTCGTTTTCAATATCTTGTACATATTCAGCTATCAAGGATAAAGTGTAGAAATGATTAGCTCCTTTTCATGGATTTGGATTTTTTAAAGAACTTTTTTTCAAGGACCAAAAAATCATCAACCTTGGATTTTTTAAAAAATATTTTTTGCAAGGACCGAACGATCATCAAACATGGATTTTTTAAAGAATATTTTTTCAAGGACCAACAAAGGCGTGGATTTTTTAAAGAATATTTTTTCAAGGACCAAAAAAAACGTGGATTTATTAAAAAATGTTTTTTCAAGGACCAAATAAACGCGGATTAATTAAAGAATATTTTTTCAAGGACCAAATAAATGTGGATTTATTAAAGAATATTTTTTCAAGGACCAAATAAACGTGGATTTATTAAAGAATATTTTTTCAAGGACCAAATAAACGTGGATTTATTAAAGAATATTTTTTCAAGGACCAAATAAACGAGGATTTATTAAAGAATATTTTTCAAGGACCAAATAAACGTGGATTTATTAAAGAATATTTTTTCAAGGACCAAATAAACGTGGATTTATTAAAGAATATTTTTTCAAGGACCAAATAAACGTGGATTTATTAAAGAATATTTTTTCAAGGACCAAATAAACGTGGATTTATTAAAGAATATTTTTTCAAGGACCAAATAAACGTGGATTTATTAAAGAATATTTTTTCAAGGACCAAATAAACGTGGATTTATTAAAGAATATTTTTTCAAGGACCAAATAAACGTGGATTTATTAAAGAATATTTTTTCAAGGACCAAATAAACGTGGATTTATTAAAGAATATTTTTTCAAGGACCAAATAAACGTGGATTTATTAAAGAATATTTTTTCAAGGACCAAATAAACGTGGATTTATTAAAGAATATTTTTTCAAGGACCAAATAAACGTGGATTTATTAAAGAATATTTTTTCAAGGACCAAATAAACGTGGATTTATTAAAGAATATTTTTTCAAGGACCAAATAAACGTGGATTTATTAAAGAATATTTTTTCAAGGACCAAATAAACGTGGATTTATTAAAGAATATTTTTTCAAGGACCAAATAAACGTGGATTTATTAAAGAATATTTTTTCAAGGACCAAATAAACGTGGATTTATTAAAGAATATTTTTTCAAGGACCAAATAAACGTGGATTTATTAAAGAATATTTTTTCAAGGACCAAATAAACGTGGATTTATTAAGAATATTTTTCAAGGACCAAATAAACGTGGATTTATTAAAGAATATTTTTTCAAGGACCAAATAAACGTGGATTTATTAAAGAATATTTTTTCAAGGACCAAATAAACGTGGATTTATTAAAGAATATTTTTTCAAGGACCAAATAAACGTGGATTTATTAAAGAATATTTTTTCAAGGACCAAATAAACGTGGATTTATTAAAGAATATTTTTTCAAGGACCAAATAAACGTGGATTTATTAAAGAATATTTTTTCAAGGACCAAATAAACGTGGATTTATTAAAGAATATTTTTTCAAGGACCAAATAAACGTGGATTTATTAAAGAATATTTTTTCAAGGACCAAATAAACGTGGATTTATTAAAGAATATTTTTTCAAGGACCAAATAAACGTGGATTTATTAAAGAATATTTTTCAAGGACCAAATAAACGTGGATTTATTAAAGAATATTTTTTCAAGGACCAAATAAACGTGGATTTATTAAAGAATATTTTTTCAAGGACCAAATAAACGTGGATTTATTAAAGAATATTTTTTCAAGGACCAAATAAACGTGGATTTATTAAAGAATATTTTTTCAAGGACCAAATAAACGTGGATTTATTAAAGAATATTTTTTCAAGGACCAAATAAACGTGGATTTATTAAAGAATATTTTTTCAAGGACCAAATAAACGTGGATTTATTAAAGAATATTTAAAAATAAGTAAATTTGATTAATTAAAAAATATTTGCCAATAGATCAAAAATCACAGATTTTCGAAATAATATTTTTTTATCAAAATTCGTAAAAACAATCTTGTGAAGGACCAATAATTAGAAATAAGGGAAAAATCTCACTTATATTTTTCTTTGAAGGACCTAACTCTCAAGTCTATTTTTTCATGGTACCATCTCATTAGCTGACAAAAAAAGGTTGATTTACCTTCCCCATGTCCTTGTTTACCTTTTCTGTTGTTTTTTTTTCCTGCAAAACCCCTCATTTGTCATTTAAGCACATCCTTCTCAGCACACTTTAATGGAATGCCTATTAATTTCCAATGACATGCCGCACAACAAAAACCATTTGTTCATGGTAATTTTACACAATCACAAACAATATTTTCTGTAAGCCAATCAATTTCACAATTTCCACAACAACAACACACAAAAGAGAAAAAATCAGCAACAATTATATATTTCTTGGAAGCGGATTGATTCAGTTGCAAACAAGCGAACAAACGAAACAAAACAATCAAATTTTATAATGAACGCTCTGACAGGCACAACAAAAAAGAGGTATTTAAATATAATTAGCCTGTCAAAATGTCAATTTGAAGAGCTGAAATACTTGCACGCCCACATACACACACACAAAGACACTCACACACACGTGTACCCTCACAAAGGACATCATATTAGCAGGGTATTTATTTTTGTGACGTATTTTTGCCTCTCATTTTATCGTGATGAGAGGAGAGGTTGGGGGATGAAATATCTTTGTGTCAGCTTTCAATAATGGCGTAGACATGTGTTATGCATTACAAACATACATTCGTACATACATGTTTATTTGTGGATATAAATAGAGATACCCAGTGAACAAAAATATTGTTTTAGATGATAATGCCAATTAGTTTGGAAGATATATAGTTAATATGCGTATGTATGGCTCGGAATCTATATTAAGTCAAGAGTTAAGTAATTGAGTGACTTAACGATTCATCAGCGCCCAGACGAAACTGCTGAAGCCAAAATCTTGAAATTTTGGGTGATAAAAATCGTGGATTAAAAAAAAAAAAATGTTTATTCAAGGACCATTGGATGGATGGATTTTTTCAAGGATCAACAGGGAAATGTATTTTTTAAAAATATTTTCCAAGCACCAACAGAGTCGTGGATTTTCAAAAAATATTTTTTCAAGAATCAACAGGGGAGTGTAGTTTTTAAAGAATTTTTTACAATAACAACACAAACGTGGATCTTTTAAAAAATTATGTTTTCAGAGATCATCAGGGGAGAGTATTTTTTAAAGAATATTTTTCCAAGGACCAATAGATTTGGATTTTTAAAGAATATTTTTCCAAGGACCAACAGAGGCGTGGATTTTTTAAGGAATATTTTTACAATGACAAAAACAAACGTGGAGTTTTTAAAGAATATTTTTTCAAGAATCAACAGGAGAGAGTTTTTTTAAAGAATATTTTTCCAAGGACCAACAGAGACGAGGATTTTTTAAAGAATATTTTTCCAAGGACCAACAGAGACGTGGATTTTTTAAAGAATATTTTTTCAAGGATCAACAGGTGAGAGTATTTTTTAAAGAATATTTTTCCAAGGACCAACAGAGACGTGGATTTTTTAAAGAATATTTTTTCAAGGATCAACATGAGAGAGTATTTTTTAAAGAATATTTTTTCAAGGATCAACAGGAGAGAGTATTTTTTAAAGAATATTTTTCCAAGGACCAATGCGTGGATTTTTAAAGAATATTTTTCCAAGGACCAACAGAGACGAGGATTTTTTAAAGAATATTTTCCAAGGACCAACAGAGACGTGGATTTTTTAAAGAATATTTTTTCAAGGATCAACAGGAGAGAGTATTTTTTAAAGAATATTTTTCCAAGGACCAACAGAGACGTGGATTTTTTAAAGAATATTTTTTCAAGGACCAACAGAGACGTGGATTTTTTAAAGAATATTTTTCC